GTTGCCCTGATTCAATAAACCATTACTAGGACAGAGAGTGGGGGGTTCGGAGAGCTGAAGGCTTCAAGCGGCCAGCTGTTTCTTCTTTTTTGGGGGGGGGATTTTTAATGTTCATGCTGATCTGTTCTGTGCAAGTGAAGGAAAAAAGGCTCGAAAATCAATACATGCACTTACCCGAATACTGTCGTCAAAAACAAAATTGATACTAATGGGCCAATCTGCTGTGTTGGACGCATTCACACACAGACGCACACTGCATCCACTCCATGGATGGAAGCTATAAGATTCTCTCTGGACTGAATTATTGAACAGTAAACAGGAAGAGAAGTTCCCACTGGATTTATGAGAGTATAATTGTGTGTGTTTGCGAGTGATAAGTGGTGGTAATGGTAAAAAGCTGCTAGAAGTATGTCCCATATCAGTTCATCTTCTATACCCAACATATTAACACGAGCAAATATCTAACAGCATTTTGGGGGCTGCTTGTGCAGAAGATCATGCATCGACCATCCCTTTTTTAAATTAGATGCCTTGCAAGGTTTTCATACAGACTTTTTTCGTGTTTTGTCTGGTAGTAGACAAATAACGCAAGCTTTATAAGAATCTTTTGCAAAAATTAAGGAAAGAAATGTTGCATGCATTTAGACAAGAGGTCCGCGGTAACTACAGAGAAGCTGAAGAGATCCGCAGGTGAAGGAGGATGGATTTTTCATACAAGCAGTGTAGAGGACAGACTCGTTTCTGAAGAAATTTGCTCTGATAAATTAATCTTTTATCTACCTGCATGTGTTAAATTACCAGAACTATCATATGCATAAAAGGAAAACCACTTCTAAAAGAAAGCCATGGCAAGACCCTTTCAAATGCTCTTTAACCAAATAAGATCAAGAACATTTTATTTTAAGCTGAAGTGTAATTTGGAAGGAAACTATTCCAAATTACCCTGACCACATCCTGAGGATGAAACATGGTAGAGGCAGCATCATGTTGTGGGCATCCTTTTCATAGCAGGAATAGATGGACTAATTGGGGGTAGATATTGTGATGCTTTGAGAGAATTACAGGATGACATAGGAAGTTACATAACAACAATATAATACAGGCACACTTTGCTTTACTCCAGAAAGTGGTTAATCTTTCAGCTTTCAAATGGATAAAATATTTTTTATTAATTTATTATAGATTTTCCCAATTATTGCTTTCTAATAAGAGATTGGCGTGACTAAAGGGATCCCAGGGCACAGCTTTGCTTGTAGAGACACCTGTCTGTAATGCAGGGTTAGTTCTGCAGGAGCAGCAGCCTGGAGCGACTGCATGACCATTATTCCACATCAGAGCGCTGTCCTGATATTAGCCGACCGAATACTGAATGAAAAGTTGGCCAATCATTCTACCCTCTGCAAGCTGCTCTTCTTCCATACACGAATTCTTCTTTTTTTCAAAAGAATGATAATATTTGTTTGTTTAAATAAGTAAGGAAATATTTGTTAGAGATATAGGGAGCTTTTGGAAAATTAAAAGAAACATGACAACAATCCTTCCACAGAGGGAGAACAGTAATGATCCAGCGATGGATGACCTTTTCCAAACTCATCATTAGTAGATCCCTTCTAACTGTGAACAGAACTATTTTAATCTGACCTGATACATAAAAAGCGGATAGATGGTTTAATATCTTCTTTAAATTTAGTTCCTATGCTCCACTTATCTGGAACAAACTTCCAGAAAACTGTAAAAGTGTGGAAAGCCTGAGTTCCTTTAAATCATGACTAAAAACACATTGTTTAGGATTGCCTTCGACTGCTCTAGTTAAACAGTTCAACTGAAACATCATAAGTTCAACTTTTTTTTTCTTTAGTCCAACTGTTTTTAATGTTCTTTCTTGCTTCTGCATTTTTTATTTTTTTCCTACTTGCTTTGGTTCTGTTTTATTTTCCTATATTTTAATCATGTAAAGCACTTTGCATTGTCTTTATACTGATTTGTGCTATACAAATAAATTTGCCTTGCCTTGCCTTAAAGAGCAGAGGTTTCTGAGTCAATCAAACATCTTTTTCATATTTAACCCATCTAAAAAAAAAAAAAACTATAATGTGGGAAATATATAGTATCTATTGTTTTACCATCTTCCTTTGGATGTTCTGGATGTTTAGTGTACATGGAAATGAGGAAAAAATTGCATTCCACCCTAAAGCAGATGTTATAGATGGTTTAACGTGTTTTCAGTTTATTCTTTTTATCATAGAGGCAGTCATCAGCCTTGTAAATAGATTCATAAAAGCAATGTTAGGAAATCAAAGATGTGTCTGAGAGCATTATGCTGCAAGCCAAGACAGAACGGTGGCTGACGCGAGATGTGTAAACCCGCAAAGGAGCTGCTCACGTCTCGGATGACGCTGAAGCAAGGCTCTGCCATGGAAGAACGAAACATCTCGACTTTCTCTGGTCTCAGCTCTTGAGTGCTTGTTGAGAGCCAAAGAGTTGCAGAGACATGAAGGCGTTTTATGTGGGCTGCTGGAGTGTGTGGGATAAAAGCACTAAGGATCCGTACGCAATACATGGGAAAGAAGAAAAGAGTCTGGAGGTATAGGTTCATTGTTCTGCTAAACAGGAAGGGTTCAGTTCTTTTTAGACAGAAAGCAGGAAGGAGCTGATATTAGTATTTTTTTTTTTTATTAAAGGTCGAAACAAAAAAAAAATTATGTGTAAATAGTGTATTACGGGATTTTTTTTTATTAACACAGTTTTTACATTTCTACAGTATGTTGCTACTACTTAGATGTACGGAAGAGGATTAGGCCACTGAAAAAAAAAAAGTTAGCTGATTTTTATTATTTTATTTCAGTTTAATATGGAAAAAAAGTCAGAATTCTGCCTTTTTTCTCAGAATTCTGGCTTTTTTCTCAGAATTCTGACTTCTTTCTCAGAAATCTCACTTTTTTCTCAGAATTCTGACTTTAATCTCAAAATTCTCACTTTTTTTCTCAGAATTCTGACCTAATTCTGACAATAAAAAAAGTCATAATTCCGAAAATAAAGTCAGAATTCTAAGAAAAAAGTCAGAATTCTGACTTTTCCCAATACTAAACTGAAATAAACTTTAAAAATCAGTTAACTTTTTTTTTTCCAGTGGCCCTAATCCTCTTCTATGCATCATATTCCTGCTTCAAAGCAACATTTCAGAAAACTTTTGCTCTAAATTTTGTCCCCGCCACTCTACAATCATATGACAGGCTGCAATTTGCTTCCTGCAACCAAGCAAGGATGCTTTCAAACAGAAAGATGATTCAATTTTTGATTATAGCTGATATTTGCAACTATTGTCAAAAAAAAAAAAAAAACTCCATCACAATTTATACATGATCCAGCACAATTTAAATGAATCCTAATGCTTCCAGGAAAATCTGTTCAGCTCATTATAATTAGATCTAGATACACATAAAGTCCAATTTGGTTCTATTCGCTGTGTAGCAGCGCATTTATCTCTGCTGGTTAGTTTATCCTAATTTGTCGATCTTGTAGCAAATTGTTCAACATTTAATCAATAAATGTTTCAGGTTAAACTGATAAGCAACCTAATGAATAATGTAAACTATAAGAAGCTAAAAAAAAGGCTGGCTTTATATTAACTCTAACAGGCCTTTAAAAATTAAGTAGATTTATTCTGATTGCATCTGTTTGGGATAATTAAGCCTAAAACACTTTATAAACATGGTCCAGGTGATTTAAAATTCACTTTTTTCCACCTGTGAGGTGGATAAATCATTGCAACCTCCTTATTAAACACCTTCTCTGTATAAAGACCCAGCAGGAACTCAACCTCTGATGACAGAAACAGCTTTGAGCATCACTGAAGATGGGCTGAGAGACGATCTCACACCCACCTGTGGGCATCACTTTCACAACTGCAGCTCTTGTTTGCAAATCATCACTACAGTCACAAATTTGTCAGTAAAAGCTTTGGTTCTGAAGGTTGACGCAATTCATTGATGGCATACTGTGTTTGCAGGTGCAACTAGTTGCAATCAAGGCGGTCTGCCAAAACTATATCATCACTGCAATCATAAGAATTAAGGAAGCCTGGGAATGCAGAATGAAATCAGGCTTAATCGTGGTCTTTCTTTTAGCTTAGCCTTCATTTTTGGTAAATAGAAGCAGTTCTGGACCTCTGTTTTTGCTTCCCCCGATGAAAAAAGCAAACTTGTTATTTTAGTATGATTGGATGTATATTTATTCCAGGCCAACAATCTCATCAAATATGATTTTCTTTCAGAGAAGTGTGCAATCACACCCAAACTCCGGTCTGTACACCTGATTGTGCTTCTGTTTTGCTTGTGAGGTATGAGGCTCACAGATCTTCAAAGGGTAACAAAACTGGACTTAAATCAGAAACATTTCTTCAAATTAGAAAAAAAGTATTTAATGTTACATTTGGAATTTCTATTAAATCTTTTGTCGGTTCTATAGTGCAGGTTTTATTTTCTTGGATCAGACTAAGTAGTCTAACCTGCAACATACAGTATTCACGCCTCTTGTACATTTTCACATTTTAAAACAATACTAGCAAAAACTTAAATGAAAATTATAATAGATGTATATCAAGTAAGCAGTTCTGTATTTCTATTTAAGCTGAAAATTGAGAATTTTACAAATTGTAGAAAACTGATTTAAACAAATTTATTTTTTTTAATATGCAAGTATAGTTTCCTTTCCTCCATTCAAGCAGCAGCTGCATACTGTGAGCAGGAAATTCAGGTGGAGCGATTGTTTCTTGCCGTGGGAGCAGCTAAAATCCAATCAGATGAATCAGTGAGAAGAACAGTGGGAGCCTGAGGCTTCCACAGGTCAGATCCAACTTCTTTCAGCCTCTCCTCCATGCAAGGTACATTTAGACAAGACCAGCACAGGAGAGAACCGATAAATCCACTCTGCCTTTCTGGCGGAATGGGCCATTATCACCACATCAGGAACAAACAACAGGACGTCAAACTAATATGGCATTTATTTATTTCAGAAACTTTTAATACTTTGATCACTGCAAATGTCTTGGTCATACTTTTACATCTTACAAAGACAATGAATCTGGGATGTAAACAGTATATATATATATTTTTTATCAATCGTGTAAAACTTCTGGTCCCCTCTTCATGCTGTGGGAGCTGATCAGCATACAGCTAAGTTTGCTCTTGGAAGAGGAGCGAGCTGACAAAGCAGCGCCGCCTGCATCTCTGAGCATTAAGTATCCTCCCTCTCCTGCTGCAGTCACTGAACTCTCAAGCTGTGCGTGACAAGCATCCCGACGAAACATGCAACATCCCGTCTGTTCTTCCCTTTTGCCACCTGATCAGTGGTGCATTCAGGGTGAAAAAAATAAGGGATTTTATTTTTATGAAGGGAATAAAATTAAGCATCTCTATTGATGGACGGGAGCTGCACGGCAAAATCTAGACAAAATTGCACTGGAAAGAAAAACAACCCTTCTTATATCCGAAACATGTGAACACTGTGCAAAGGATCTCCATAACAGATCTCACCAAATGGACCGAAACATCTTTACATTCACATTTCAAATATACATCAGTTAAGCAAAAAAAAAAAACTAAACAAAGAAAGCAAATGAGTAAAATAATTCAACATTCTCTCTCACACAAAAAAAAAACTTTACAGGTTTACATAATGTCATTCTTCATTAGAAAAACCAGGTACAGTAATGAAACGAATGATGCCACTGATTATTAAACATGGAGGTTTGAATAAAGATTAATCTTTGTAGATCAAGAATTTCCCACGGGCTTATTTCAATATCATATAAAACTGTTTAAATCAGAAGAAATGCTAATTATCTACTGGTATGATTATAGCTGTTAAAGATGGACAAGATTCTTAAAACAGAACCGATAGTGATGCTGAGAGTCCTCTCTCTATTGGTGTGTTGGTTATTAGAAAACATCTCTTATCTTTAAGCTTGCTTTGTTCTACATTCATGTTTCTCTAAATCTATGGTAAACACTGCAGGGTGGTCAACTCTACAATCATACATCTCTACTAAGAAAGTTCAGGCATTTTGAGATCAAATCTGGGTGTAGAAATACAGCGACGGTAAACACATGTGAAATTACCAGCTTTTAGTGGCACGTTCAGGAACTACCCCATTAACATGTCATCCGTCTGTGTTCCTTAGCTGCAAAACACATTTTTTAAGATGGAAACATATTTTCTTTAAATATGTGCACACTTTAAATATTCTTTTGATTCAGTTTCAGCTTTTAGTCTCGAGCACTATGCCATAATTTAAAGTTATAAATGAGAATAAACACTGCTTTTATAATAGAAGTTTCCTTAAACTGGCTCATTTTTTTCGTTGTTAAAGCCTTTATTTGTTTAAAGGTTAGAGAGGATCAAACTGTACCTGGTCATCTGTCAGGAGATGGAATAAATGGATTAAAAAGACACCTTTCCAATGAGTACAGGTCATGTACTATCAAATCACCCAGAATAGAAAGTATTGGGTGAAGCATCACTTTTCTTCACAGGGAAAATAAACCTTTGGTCAGTGTGTATTTATTCAAAACTAGTCCTACTTTTCAGTTTTGACCCAAAACAGTCAAAATTCTGCTTTAAAGCTGAAAAGTGAGATTTTTCGCCATCTGGTGGATTTAGGGATCAATTGTAATGCAGATAAGTCAAGATGAAGTTAATCCTGCTGAAGAAAATGACACATTTTGACTGAATATCAGCATCATGAATGTAAAGATATGCAGTCTAATGGAACCATGGATGTGGCAGGCTTTTTAATTTACAGATTTGTTTGCTTTTAAATTTAAAGCATATGGTTTTAGGTTTATCATGGTTTCCTAATGTTATGACACAAATCTACCGTTTTAACAAAGTAGGGTAAAATCAGGGTTTCATTGTGACTCTTTATTTACCTTCTTTATGTTTATAGGCAGACTGTCCGCTAATATTTACTTCTAGGTTTGTGTGTCGGAATTTCCCCACCACTAAAAGGAATGTGAAGGCACACATATCCAAAAATGTGTGTGAAAACACCGTGTCTCACTTTACTGACCTGCCTCCTTGCCTCAGACACATTTAATGCCTCACGACAGCGAACTAAAATCCGTGTGAAGGGGGTTTTAACAAAAAGAAAATGGGGTGTTACAGTATCCAGATGAAGATCAAGAGGCTTTCCCTTTTATCTGCTCCCCTGATGCTGTTTCAAAGGCACGTCCCTGTTCTGCCTGCGAGTAATTGACCTAAAACAAGTGTACTGTAGGCACGACTGGGTAGACTTATGGACATTCTCACTATGGCAACACGTTTCACATCCTTAGAACATATACTCTTTACCATGTGCAAATGTACTTTCTGACAATATTTTGTCCCCTTGAACCTGAGGAAAACTGTAGACGTAATGCACAAATACAGACACATCTACACTAATTCTGCTCCTTTTTGTTTAAATAAAAATCTACCTCTGATTGTCTCTTACTGCTAGCTGCTTATTATTCTCATTCTATTTCTAAGAGTTTTTTTTTTTGACTCAAATCAAGAAGCATTGGGGGGAAAAATTAATTAAAGAAAAAAATACAGGTGGTATGCAGCACATTTACAAATCATGACGTTTTCACTGGTCACCACTAGATGGCACTGTAAGCAACACAACAGCAGGCTTGGGCACCACGAATACAACAAAATGCAGAATAAAAAGCATATAGTCAGGCTTTAGGTAAAGTTAGGAAAAGAAAGCCATTTAAATAATATAACTATTGAACATTAGTCTTTAAGAACTAAACACTAATATCAGTTGTACTGTACGAATAGAACAACTCATTTATTGGAATTATAATACAAGGAAATAAATTAACGTGGGATTAAAAAGACTCCCTTCATTCCAGCCAAAAAGTGTCCGTTATCTTAAAATCAGCCGGCTCTCCTCGTTCAGGCAGTGAGATGATGAGTCCTTATTTTCCTTTTTCGTAGAGGAAGGGGATGAAGGCTCTTGTGCAGCTTTTCGTTCTTGCAAACATACAATATCCATATTGGGTGTTTATTTTTCTCGACTCGAGGTTCTTTTCAGACAAACCCAGAAGTCCGGGCTTCTTCCTATTGCTTTTAAGACACGTAGAACTGAGATGGACCGATTAGCACTGGATCAGTCTTGGTTTTATGGCACTGCTTGCCAATGGCTTTTAATACACTCCTGTTTCAGGTGTTAGTGTGTATAAAAAAAGATCTGAATGAAGGGGGGGTAAAACGGAAGATAAACATGACTGAAGCTGGACGTCCAGACATTTTAGATGCAAAGAACAAAAAAACAGATTCAACCTTTAACATGCAGTTGAAGCATCTCTCTTGAACTATGTTGTGGATTTAGATATATGTGTAGTTGTCTGCTGCTGCAGCAGATCTGTGACGCACGTCTGTGTGGCGTTTAAGTTGTCCTCTTTTAAGAAGGGGTGCCTGAGCGACTCCCTGCTGAGGCTTCTTTGATTTGGCACAAACAAGGTTTGCTTTTTCAGAGCAGGTGAAAGATGTTTTAAAAGAAGTGGGAGAAGGAAAATGAACAAATCGATGTGTAAAAGGCCAAACGTTGGTCTGAAAGGAGGAGAGCGCCACAAAGGAGACGGTTCTTCATTTCAATCCAGTGGAATAAGTGCGAAAGTCAACATCTTGAGAATGAGGAGGAGGAGATCTGTTTGGCCATTGAATGAAATAGGGGAAGGCAAACAAGTAGAAATGAGTTCCACAAATTTCATCCTCCAAACATAACAGGAAAGTTCAAAGAAGTTGAGGGGATATCAGACCAATGGAAGAATGCAGAAGGGGTTTAGAGGTTCCCCGTCTGCCTCTTCTAAACTGTGTGCAGATGAGCTGTGAGTGCAGCAGCTCAGTTCATGTCAATGGTGTTGAAGACCCACTCTGTGAACTTCTTGAGCTTGGCAGCAGATGTCTGGGACTCCTCCTGAAGTCTCTGGTTGTCCTCCCAGAGCCTCTTGATCTGAGACTGAAGTCGTATTTTTTCTTCCCGCTCCTGCACAAAAAGAGAAAAGTCAGAGAATGAATCCACAACAGTTCTCCAGGGTAGAACTGCATGTAATTAAATAAAACAGAGTTCAAATTAGCTTGTTGTTAAACGAGCGAGCGGGTGGATGGAGGTCCCTGTACAATGCTATGCAGAAGTATTCATGCCTGTGAACTTAAGTCAAACTAGAACCACAGACCTTAATGTGAAGGAATGTTGCCTAATAGATCAACAGGTATCATATTTCCGAAGTGGAAAGAGGAGGACACATGATTTTACTACAGTTTTTACACATCAAAAGCTGAACAACTGGTGCTTTTGTATTCTGATAGATTCAATACTTTGTAGAACTATTTGTACCCTCAGTTACAGCAGAAGCCTTTCAGGGTTTGTCTGTACCAGCCTGATACGTCTACACAACTGACTCGTCTTTGGAAAGTAGGTCAGCCTCAGTCAAGTTGAATGGAGAATGTTTGAACATCTGAATGTCTTGATACACATTCTAAACTGAATTTAGGCCTGGATGAGGTCTAGGCCATTGCAAAAAATAAAGGCAAATTGATCTGAACAGTAATTTTTAAATGTGTGGTTGCCATGGGGTAAATATCTATCTCCGTCTCGCCTTTCAAAACCTTTAACAGACTTTCTTTAAAAACTGCTCCAGGGGTTGACGTTTAGGATTTTTACCACTTGCCCTTTGGGCAAGTTGCTTTCACATTTAATTTGCCCAGAAACAATTTGTACTTGCCCAGTATAACATGCTTTTCAATCCTTCCTGCACATTATTTTCAAACTAAACTTTGCTTTAAACTGTTGTGTGCTTGGAAAGCTTAAAAAAACTTGACAGGTTAAAAACTTACACTACTACTACTCACCAATTTAACATGTTTAGCTCTATAACATTTAAATGCACCACTCCAATGTCTAAGAGAAAAAAATTGAATGAACATTTTTAATGTATGACCACTGTACAGAAGACTGCCATATGATAGAAATATTTACACTGTGCGCATATAATTATTATTTTCCTAATCCCTGACTGATCATTTTTAATCTAGCGTGTATTATAGTATAGATTAAATTCATCATCCAGCTGCTGCTCTGCAGAATTCTTTCCCCAAGAGTTGAATCCTAGTCGTTTGGCTCTATCACCATCTTTCCACCAGTTCTCCACCGCTTCTGTGACGCCAATTCCCGGACAAAGATCACACCATCTAGCGGAAAATCATGCGAGAATGTGTACAAAACAACAAAAATGGCGCCGGCAACTCTTGTGGGTTTTCAGCAAATGTCGGTGATTTTAAAGTAATTTTGAGTGATAATAAATTGTTTTTTGTGATCATTGCACCTGCCCGGCAGGCAAATGCAATGAAATATGTACTCTCCCGACAATAAAAACTACTTGCCCCGGGAGATCGGGCAATGGTAAACATCGAGCCTTGTATTCTGTATTTCATCAACCCAGCCTGGCTTCTCTCTGCTTGATGAAGAAATTCAGTGTCAGGTCATGAGGCTGCCACTACTACGTTTTACTATGGTTTAAGACAAAGTTCAGGAACAGTTTTCCACAAACTATTTAGTGTTTAGTTCAAAATGTTTCAGTTGATCGATGACTTTAGAAAATAATCTCCTTTCGAATTGGTATAAAATAACTGCCTACTTTCTAAAGACCGATAGGTTTTTTTGTGTTTATCTAAAAATATCATCACAGAGAATCACTGCTACACTGAAAAGCTTTGAGGACAGATTTTAATCAGTTTACATTGACAACACAAAAACCAACATGAGTAAATTTCATAGCTGATAAATTTTATAAATGAGAACAAAGTCTGTGACTCTTACTCTGCCCATTATCAATGTACTAAAAATGAACATTTTATTGTTTATCAGATGTGTTGCGGTTAAAGTATAATCTAACAAGTAATCACACAAGTAAAACTTGTTTATGTATGTAAAACATTTCCAAACTAACATTTCTAAAACAAATTTATTCCAGCAGATTTTTATTATATTCAGGAGAAATTATTGTAGAACACGTATTTCCAATTAAAAGGTTCAGGTTCAGATAATCCTATACTGACTTTAGATTATCATAGATTGTGAGGTAATACCCTTAACTAGAAACAAATAACTAAATGAGGGGTTCAGTGTTTTGTGCGGTATCTGATACTGAAACAGTTTCAGAAAACCTTTTATATGACAATTCAAAGAATAAGATATAAAAATAAATCAGACTTAAAATTTGTGTCTTTTAAAGCTATTTTGATGCTCATCTTTTAGGTAATAGAAAAGAACAGACAACAAGTTCTAAGTACAAAATTGTTCTCCTATACCTGTATCTAAATTTATGTTTCTAGACCTGAAAATAAATCAAAATAAATAAAAATCCTCAAACGATTAAATAATACACCGTTGATAATCATTTTAGAAAAAGCAACAAATTAGGTTTAAATCAACCAGGTTTCTTAAAGAAGGTAAACCTATTAGAGCAGTAAGGCCCTTTAAAATAAAATAGAAAATATTTCCGGTGATGTAAAGCTCTATATGTTTATAGAAGCAGCATCAATAACTGTTTGGGTTGTTTTCTTAGCTGCCGAGCTAAACAATCATTTCAACCATGAACATTAAAAAGAAACTTAATTTACTATGAATACTGGAATGGTTTCTTCCATTACTGCAGACTGAGCTGAATACTGAATCACTAATATTACGATACTGTGTAAAACCAATTTGGTTTTCTATTTTCCCTGAAATGGATCCAATCTTGTGTTTCTGATTCCAATCAATCAAGTTTGAACCCAAAATAAAAGTAAAACATGAAGAATTATTTCTGTGAAAATAAGTTACTGTTTGTGTCTCACCTTCTTCAGGTCCTCCTGGAGCATCTTCACCATGGCCTCCAGCTTGGTCACCTTCCTCTCAAGCCCTATGTGACCCTCACTATAGAAATACAAATAAATCCCAGTTAAAAAAACAGAAGAGACTTTCATGAAGCTCAGCTCATAATTTCACAGAAAACAGTCAGACAGCCGATGTGGTGAAAACAGACAAAAAAAGGCTGCATGACTCGACCTGGATGAGGGTCGTGACAGTGGCGCAGGCTGCAGCTCGATGTGCTGAGGTATGGATGCTGCACTGCTTCGGTGGTTTGAATCCCCAAACACATAACTTCTCTGGACTGGAAGGAGAAAGGAAAGTATGAGTTTTTTTTTTTTTTAAAGTAGATCAACAGAAGTCTGTGTGTTGATTTGCTTGAAGTGGTAGAACAAGTATTTGTATTTTACTGTAATGTGTGTTTCTCTCATTCTCGAAGGTACTGGCCACATCCACCAGGTGAGTCCACTCAAGAGGACTGTCTCTACCTGAAGATGGGAGGGGCATCAGTTCCTGAGGGAGGGGTCCCCGATGACGCTCCACCAAATCCACCAATGATGTGTCAGATGCTGAAAGATCCCCTGTTAATTCAAATTGTAAAGAGGAGTAAATTTAAAAACGGAATTTCACATCTTTAGACATTTTGCTTTTTTAATCAAAGCAGGGCAGAAATTACTGCTCTTTAATTTTGACTTTTTCTTTTTTGACATTTAAAACTTAAGTCAAAGAATTAAAATGAAACACACAAAGATACATGCAATAAAAAGTCTTCCTTACCATGGAGTTTGACTCCTAGCTTATAGGAAGGCCGTCTGAGGGGCACTCCCCGAGTGGTGGGAGAGCGAGGAAGGGTGGAGCAGCTGAACAGGACATCCGTACTGAGGTTGGGCTCAGTGATGGAGTCGCTGAGGGAGGGCAGCCGCTGACCACGATAGATGCTCTCGTCTGACAGTGTGCGGTGCAGCGAGCGGCGGCGGCTGAGCGGCTGGCTGGGAGGGGACTTCTGGCCGTGCTGGGTCAGATTGAAGGGTACAGGGTGAGGCTGGTGATGAGTTCATTAAAATCCTATTTTTGTTGCCTATCTGCTTGTGTTTGAAGATACCTTTTCCTTGTGTTTTCGTGGAGGGGGTGGAGTGTCGTGAGCAGGGTGTCTCTTCAGATCTTCCTCCACAGTAGATTTCGCGTGAGCCTGGGGGGAGTGCATGTCTCTAAGAGTCGGCCTTGCGGTTGGGCTTGGGGCCCCTTCTCCACTTTCCCCTGGAGATTTCCTAAAAGCAGAAACCCAAAGTAATTAAGAACAATCAGACAGTACATGCAAATCATGTGGGAGGAAGCACATATGCTCAGAAAAATCCATTCATGTAACATATTAAAGTTCCTGCTGTACATCTCTCAGCCACATGGAGGCGATCAAGAACCAGCTTTGCTGTTACTAATGGGAATATGTGATGGAATTTATATCTAATAAATCATGAGTCAATTGGAAAGTCTAAGGGTTATTTCGACAGTCCAACTGAAATAAAAAGGAATAGAACTAACCCAGACTGTAAATATAAAAACTCAAGAAATAAAAGAATGGGGTTATAATAAAAGGCTATTTTTAATGAAGATTTATTAAATGAAGCAGTAGAATCCAAAAACCAGATCTCAAACATGTACTTAAATGGTCAAACATAATTTTAACTATAAAGAAAAAGACAATAGAGTTGATTTAATATAATAGAAACATCTGTGAAGCATTTGGTAAAACAAAAATGATGCAAGTGGTAATCAATATACTGTTACATATGTGACTGTGTCACTTTCTATCTCTTGTCCTCATAATATACTTTATATCAAATGAAAAAAAAGGCTCTATCGAACTCAACATGGCAGCAAACCTCTGTTAAAATCTAAACTGAAAGTTTAGTTGTGAAACTCCTGCAAATAATAATAACAATTTTTTTTTTTTTTTTTTCATGCCAGACCTTAATTATTCCACAAACAAATGTCTGGCAGAGGGAATCATGGCTGAAGTCTAATTATTAATCTGCCTACATCTATCTATATTTTACTCTGGCGGTTTTTCATAGCAGGTCTCCCATTGCTATTCTTGTTCATGCAGGCTTGAGGATTCTTTTGACTATTAAAGGAATAGTACACCCAAAACATGATTAGCCTTCATTTTCTACTCACCCCCATGCTGAACAACACTCTGGAGTACTTTTTTGATATCTCAAATGCATCTGGAGATCTGGGAGGCTTCTTGCTGTCTGCTGACATTCAAATAATGGAGGTCTATGGTGACCGAGAAAGAAAGGTCCATAAAAGTCCACAAAAACGTGTCAATATTCCTCCATACTGCTCGTCCAATGTATTCCAAGTGTCCTGAGTGGGTAGCATCCAGAATTTACTCGAAACGAAGTCATTTAGAATGTTTTTAGAGCATAAACAGTAGTGTATAGGATTTCCTGAAAGCGCGCACATGCGCGTTCACGACGCTACGGAAGCCGGCAGACCAAACCAGCGCATTCAGCTCGGCAAAGAACTCATGCTCTTCCTCAACACTGAAGTCCTCAGACATTTTTCTTTCGTTGTTTCTTTCTTTGCACAGGTAAACAGCACATTTCTTCTTCTACGCTTGCATTATTGGCAGAGCAGACGCTGAATGCGCACTTTCATCTGGTTTGGTCTGCCGGCTTCCGTAGCGTCGTGAGCGCGCATGTGCGCGCTTTCAGGAAATCCTATACACTACTGTTTATGCTCTAAAAACATTCTAAATGACTTTGTTTCGAGTAAATTCTGGATGCTACCCACTCAGGACACTTGGAATACATTGGACGAGCAGTATGGAGGAATATTGACACGTTTTTTGTGGACTTTTATGGACCTTTCTGTCTCGGTCACCATAGACCTCCATTATTTGAATGTCAGCAGACAGCAAGAAGCCTCCCAGATCTCCAGATGCATTTGAGATATCAAAAAAGTACTCCAGAGTGTTGTTCAGCATGGGGGTGAGTAGAAAATGAAGGCTAATCATGTTTTGGGTGGACTATTCCTTTAAGGTGCTTTAAAACAAATGATAAAATTATTTCAGCACAGACCTGCATGTCCACCTTCAAAGGTCTTATATAAAAACTTATTTGAGAAGATCCCCTTTATTAATATTTGTAAAACACCAACATGACTACTGTATCTTGAAGTTATTTCTATGTTTTTGTATTATTTAATCTGATAAATTTAACACTTAACCCTTAGCTTCCACCTTTTTATAGCTTGTGCACAAAGTGCAGCCCCAAATGGCCTGCAAGTCTGTTTTACAAAACTTGAGCTATACCCAAAAGTATAATTTTGAACATTAATAGAGCTTTATTTTGAATGTTCTATATCTTAGTTCTAATTCATAATTGATCTATTCCAATTTACTTAACTGGTTTGTTATGATGTGGACAGCAACTAAGCCATATTTCAAATCTGTAGTAGTAAGCATCGTTAAACTGTGACCCATTTTTTATGCAAAAGGTTAAATTGGAACATCTGATCCTAATTGGGACCAAAATTGCCAAACTGGAATATTTTAATTTTATGACAAATTTGAGCATAAAAAACATTTCTAAAGGCAGTTTTACACAAATTCTCATTCAAGCCCTTTATTTTATTATATTTCAAATGTTCAGCTACAGAGTTCTGACTATGCATTTCGTATGATAATTCCAGTTATTTCTCCTCTCCCTCCTTTGAAACATAAACAAACATAATCTTTTTAACTCACTCCTACACTTTATTGCAAAACTTATCTTATTGGTTAAAAAATATGTAAATCAAAGTTTGATTTGTCACTGAGTTGCTGAGTTCCAGCTGCGTAAAAACTACAATGATGCACCTTGGAACGGCGTTTCTTATGTTAGGGACATTTCTGACGAATTGTGGACTGAGAAAATAACTTCTGCTTGATTTTAGGAGCAAGTGGATTGGTAAATAAGCCCATGTAATGCATATACTGTAATCAAAAATGGTGGACATTATGTCAGAAGGTACAGGGAAAAAAAGTGCTTTTATGCTGATATATCTTACCTTTTCATGGAAAAATAACTAGCTTTGGTGGATTATTACGACACCTGATTTTATTTTATGGGGAATACAACTGGATATTACTTTTCTGTGGAGTGTTAAAAACAAAATGAGCCCTTTCATGCCAGGATAGAAGGTGTTTTGGAAAGCAGAAAGAAGATGAAAATAAGGTAAGAAGTTGTAATTTAATGACAGATTAGTGGTTATCTGTAGAGTATAGTTGGCTTAAGGTTCAGTTGGTCGTTTTCTTTAGGATCGCTTGGTTATAAAGACGTACAACATGTTGGGTTTTGTTTACAAATAAGCTTGCTGTTAGATGTGAAACAAAATGTGACATCAAAATGACCTGGGGCTGGGGTTAATGTTTTCACCAGAGTTTCTGACTAGATTGGAGATTTAACATTCATAGTTTCTTTAAATTGTCTTTGGTGAAAGTATCTATTATAAAACCAAATACCGTAGACAGCTACGGTAATTTCTGCTTCACTGCGCAGGTCATTTTTAAACAAACCAGAAAGCAGTCTGTTTAGCTTCAGCTTAAGGCTGTAGGTGATGACTTGAAGAAGGAAATCATATATAAATATAAAAACAAACTGAGCAAAAATGTTCAAACATGTTTTTGTGCAACATGTGACCAAAAATTTGATGAAATGTTGAGATTTGCTGTCTATCATTTGCTCATCCTTACTTCCGTGTGTCTCCAAAGTCCACAGAGTTGATGGTGGAGCCCGGTTTCCTCCAGCCAATCAGGTATTTGGACTGAGCTCCCTGACGGGGGTAGAAGCTCTTGGGCCCGGGTGAGATTGAAGACTGAGATGAAGGGGAGGTGGCTGAAGGCGATGACTCCTCCCTGGGCGAACTGTGGCCAGAGTGCCTGAAAAGAAACAAAGACTGATGATATATTTTTCTCTTAAAATTCTCACCATGTGTAGAAAACCAGAAGTAAATGGTTCCCGTTTCCATAAAGTCAAATCTACCATCTATGAATATCAATAGCAGTAATAAATCCTTAAAAAGTAGAAAACCTTGCAAACTTTTTTTTTAAATTTCCTTCAGTTATGTGCAACGGGCCACCTTGAAATACTCAATTCTTTGAAGTGGAGAAAATCATCTACAGATTTAAAATAAAATTTGAATAGGAAGGTGAAGCTTTTATAATCAACCCATTTCGATAAATATTAAACTTCCTCCTTTATAACAAACATAATCAGGAAAACAAGGTCGAACTTTGAGTAAATTCTTCTCAGTTAAATGAACGGCTGTTCTGTTCTTCTGTAAACAGCTTTATGACGAGCAAAGAGCACTGCAGGCAGGTCAGGAGTAAATAACTCCAAGTTCTTCTTCCTGTCTGTGTCTATAAATAAATACTAATATTCAATATCAATTTGTCTACAGCGTTCAAGTTGAACACACAAAAACAGAAAGGGAGGAAAGAAAATGGCAGAAAAAGTAATAATCAAATAAAACCAGGGTAAGAAAAGAAGCAAAAAGTGAAAGAAAGGGCAGAAAAAATAAGAGAAAACTGTAGATATGGAAGGTTAAACAGCAAGTAAGGAAAGGAGAGGATGCAAGGAGGTAGGAAACAAGGAAGGCGGAAAGAAAGGAAGAAAAATACAAAAGGAAGAACTCTGTGGAAAGGATAAGGAAAAAGCAAAACAGAGTCACACCAAAGGGTAAAATGAAGGAACAGTAAGAGGAAAGATGTAGACAGTAGGATTAGAAATGAGGTATTTATACAGATTATTAAAATTTTGACAGTAAAATCCTCACAATTTCATACTGTGCTATAACCCTGTATCAAAGGTCCCATTCAGAGCAAAGCAGGAGCTGCAGTGGTTGTGAAAAGCTCAGCCTCGAAAGGAGCTGGACACTAACATCAGACACATGTTTAAAAAATAGAAATTTACCATGTGTCCCTTTTCCTCCACTTCACAAGCATGGTTACTTTATTTACTTGATGATATGTAATTATGAGAAAAAGAAAACTTGTAGAAATAATTTTACTGCACCATACTTCCCACTTTTCCTCTTGTGAAGTATTGCTGCACCTTTTTGAGTAACATCTCTAACTACTCTGTCCTCTTAGTAACTTTATCTGTTCACAGATCAGGTTAACATGCAGAAAAAAAAACATATATTGTCAGCTGAAGTACAATTCTCTCTACAGGTATTGGTTTAATACATTTTTTGTTGGAGTATTTGAAAAAGTATTTCTTCAGTATTATTTTGTTATTTTGTAATAATTAATTTGTATTTAATGTATTTTAGTCTTTAAAATATCAGAACTTCATCATATTCTCAGTCTGACCACAGCATTCCTAAACATTAAATTATGCAAATCATGCAACAATTACTCAGTGCCTCAGTAGCTTCTTTACAAAATACGTTTTTTACTAAAGTAATTTCTTGTATGACTACTTTCTAAAATGTTGAAGTACTGCCTCTCTTAAATGGCTGCAAATTGATGTAACCTAATCAAATATAAACAGGTGCATTGTGTATTTATCATTTGGAATACAATATAATACAATGAGTCTAACAACAGCACAAATGATGCTCAGGTCACTCATTCGCTTGATTGGCTATAATGAACCTGCTCCATCAGGAAGAAACACAAACTCTGTTATGAAAAGTAGGACATGTGTTCCACATTTCCTGAGGCCTAATGTGGAAAGATAAGAAGGAATTAAATTTGCTCTTTATCCTCGGTTTGAAGAAAAGTCTTGCTGAGAAGGAAGCTGTCTGGTACAGTATGTGATCTTCTTGGCTGAAGAAATTTTGGCACAAGTAATGAGAACAGGAATGACACTGCAGTGGCCAGACACGTGTTGAGATAAGATATGAAATAAATGAGTCAAATCCCCCCCCCAAAAAAAAATAAGCTCAACTTCGTAAAAAGGAGAGATAAAACTTTGATTTAATTTCACACATTTATGAAACTACTGTTGCTTTTCAATATACTTTGACTAATCTACGTGTTTGTTTAGGCTGATTGTAAGCAGATAGTTAAATGATGGCACAATTATAAAGCAATAAAACAGTAAAGAAATACATTAAAGAGTAAAAACAGGTCAACAATTTCTTCATTGAGTTAATAACTTTAAGCAGTTTGTGTTTTACCATCTGCTTTAGATTCTTACCTCTGGCTGGATCATGTGTCTGCCAGCAAACCCAGAACCACAACCTTCCATGAATTATTGTTCAGTTCAAAGAAAGCTGGGGTGTACTTCGCATGTAATTCAACCAAACACTGAATTCCTTTTCCAGGTTATAGGATTTATTTTTTTCCAGCTACTTTAAAGATCCCATTCTCGGGTCTTGATTATTAAAGAGGGGTCAGTTTAAAACAGCATGAATGGAAATCTCAGGAATGCGAGTCCTCTGCCAAACAAAAACCGATTGAGCTAGTTGTGTTGACATAAGAGGAGGTTCAGAACAGCCTCATCTGTGTAGGGGATGCAGGATCCAGATGGATTGCCATGTTGTGTCGAATAAAACATGGAGAAACATATAGATGGAAAAAAATCTTTGGATTTACAGCAAACGACAGCACTTTGCTGCTAAAATGGTCTACTATTAGAGGTCTGCCATAGAACACAAATTACGCACAGGCCTCCTAAAAAATACAATCCATTAAAAAAACATTCATACACAGAATATAATTTTCTATTTTTCTGAAATGCAAATTTACAGTTATTTGCACAAACTGACCTTGAATGTGATCCACCGTCACCCAGGCTGAAAGTACTGCTGTCCCTAACCAGAAGATGGGTCGGTGGGCTTCGACCCACCGATTCATGGCTTCTTTCTGCTGGAGGACCTGGAGACTCAGCAGCAGCAGGTGACCTCTCCAGCATCCTTCGACCCCCCTCAGTCGGACTGTGCCACGGAGACGAAGAGCGTTCCCTGCTTTCTCTGCTCCCACTGGGGGCCAGCAGGGAGGCAGTGCTGCCATGGTGGGAATGGGGATGGGAATGATGGGAGGCTCCGTAAGAGCCAGTGTCGATTCCGCTGTCGGCTGAGGCACCCTGGAGGTAGCCTCCTCCTCCCAGGCCGTTTGGTTCCGGCTCCCCCTGGTCGCCGCTGGACCCTCCTCCTGTTCCCAGGTCATACCATTTGTCACTGTCACTGTGGCCACCACTGGAAGCGGTGCTGGACAGAGTGTTACTGCTGGAGTGACCAGAGTAAGGGCCATCTGACTGCCAGGACAAACAAATAAATAACAGAATTTTAATTTCTTTTATATAAAAAATACATATAACCAGAAAGAAAAACATTTCACAAAATGTTTTAATTCTGACCTGGCTACCCTTCTTTGGTGAGAGGTGGATGACTTGTTCCTGCCTCTGGATACGAGGAGCTCCAGAGTAGCTCTGGCCTGACTTGGAAGCTGGGGCCTCTGCAAGAATGTCAAACAAAGCAGCGGTTGGTGACAAACATGGACGGGCCCTGCAGCACAAAACGGCTGCTGACAATTCAATACATCGTTATGCGTCAAAACCTCACAGCACTCACTCCATTTTCATTTTGCCTTCCCATCATCTATTAACAAAATCCCAGATCAGTTGTTATTAAAAGTGATGCAGATAAAAAAAAAATGTCCCCCTGCTGGCTCTGCCTGGTCTGAGAGAGATGTGCAGCATGACAGAGTCCTGAAGTAAACCCTGGCATAAATGGGACTATTGTGTAATTGTCTATCTGTTATGCAATGAGAAATAGAGAGCAGGCAGTTAATGAGCACAGCAGCATGAGATGAAGAGAGAGCTAGTGGTGGAAAAGTAACATCTGTTGGGATGAAACTAAACCATAGTTTCCATCTCATTTAGAATATTTATTACTTAGTGGTGTTGCACTGGAGTCCACAGGGCTCGCTGCACTAATTAGAGCTGGGTGCACATGTGTAAACCGGATTGTTTGAGTTCTTGTGGATTTACATTTAATGTGCTGCAAATCCCGACTGCTTTCCACATATTCTAGCTAACCCAGATAAAGTTAACTCTTTGATACCACCTGTAATTTTAATAAAAATGCTCAGCTTAATTATTCATGTAATCAACATAATTTAAAGAGATAAGTGTACTTTCTCTTTAACCACGTTCAACATTTTTAACGTTTCTCCCTGTTATTATCACTGACATCTAGCTATTTTATGTGGATTGCATTTTAACAGACAAACATAAGGTGGCATCTAACCCTAAATCTGAAACTTAAACACAAAAAAAGCGAAAAAACGAAAACCTTAAGAACTGTATAGGTCTTTAAATAGCCTTTTTTTTGTAGTTTGAATTATCAATTACTGTGGCAGTGCATATCAATAATATTCTGTCAATATGCCAGGATTAGGTAGAGGGCTATTTTTCATCTGCCTCCCAACACAGACTGTAAAAGCCACCCAATAAAACCTAAAACTACATACTTAGACTAACAACAAAACAATTACAGTACAGTGAGCTAAAATGTATAGAAACACACAGACCAAGTACTAGGTTAACAACGTACTGATACATTCATGTGTTTGCCAATTCTTTGTGGATCTAGCAGCATTGAAATCACATGCACTGCCACCATATCCATTTGCTATCATGTTTGATCCTTTAATAAATGTTTTTTTTTTGTTAAAAATTAGACCATTGTAATATTTTTAATAATTGTGTCGTTTTTATTGTCTAAACAGAGAAAAAGCAATATAGGTACATAGAGGCCTCAAAAAAATCCAGCAGCCCATATTGGAGATCGGTTAGGCTCATCTCAAAATAAACATGATGAGTTGTCCATTATCAGAAATGAATAGATCACTCAAAGGTGTAAACCGTCTGTCATGCAGCAAAGGACAGTTGCTTCTGATAACGGACACCGCAGAGGGCTTTATGGTTCATGTACGGTCAGGCATTTTAGTTTTTTCCCTGAAAACCCAAAACCAAAAAAGGAAATTACTTCAGTTATCCCGTTTTTTTTCATTTCCAAATCAAAACAGAGCTGATTTGTCTTTCCTGTCCCCAGTGTTGAGACATGAAAATAGAGAAACACTTAATGAAAACAGCCCACTTTGGATTTTGTCTATTCCTTCTGGCATTTTGTAGAAAGCTGAAGACAGGTTCTGGTAAGCTGGTAAATATTTAATACTAAAATCCATAATAAGCCTGAGGAAAAAGGTCACTGAGGCATAAAGTTGTCAAGTGAATAAAAAAGGGGAACTTTTCAGGTTACGACACGATAGATTATTATTAAAACATGGAAACGCCCCTATAAAGGAGGGGCTTGCATCTGTTCAGATTTGCAGCGTGGCAAATTGCGAGAAGAGGTAAATGAAAATATAATTTATATTAAGTGTGGATATAAAATAAATAGAGCCTTAGAAGAGGCCAATTTATGAGGACATGAGTGAGGAGTAAATGCACAATTGAAAGTGTTTGCAGCCTCGAACATGGTTTTTAACATCCTACTATGCATGAATTTTTTATTTTTTTGCAAAATACCAATGGTCCTACAGTTTGTGATGTAAGGCGATCTTATAATTCTGTCCAGCTCTACAATCAGATTTCAAATGTGGCATTGGAAGAGCGAAATAAAACAACAAAATTAATGTCAGCATTCATTCTCATTGATCTTAATAGTGACTTATTAAAATTGAATTAAACAATGTAATACAACTTGTATATATTGGCCTCACTATGCATGATAAATGATTGTGAATCAGATATTTGCTTGTCTAGCACTGTCTCCTTAAAGGATGGAGCCATTTAGGAGCAAATCTGTCTCACTGAAGATAAAGTAACGTTTTCACAGTAGCGTTCAAACGCCCCGTATTGTATATTCATCACAGCAGACGTACTATCTGGATAAGATGCTCCATTTAGCACCTTTGAAAGACGCAATTCTTTTTGCATGCCGAGTTTGATTATTTTGTACATTTACTTGTGCTAGAGCTCTGAAGACTCATCACTTTTAATTCTGCCAGTAATGCATAAAACCTGTGTAATTTCAAGTTTAGCTATCAGAAGACATATGCTACAACCCAGGTGTAAACCCCTGTGGTTCACTAGAAGCAACATACAAATCCTACGTCCTGTCTCTGCGCAGGTGGGTTAATAGGTCTACCATGTTGCTTAACTGTATTCCTGTGTACAACGATAAACTTGAGTGATTATTTAAAAATATATACATTTATTTTAAATGTTTTGCTTGATGAGCACAGTCTCCATAAAATGCATCTTCTACATTTCTAGCTTACAGGATCTGCATACAGCCTTTGGTCTTTCATGTTCCATCAATAAAACACACAGCGTAATAAAGCTCATGTTTCTACAACAAACTATCACAGCATATGTAAAAATGTCAACTTTTTTTATTCACAACAGCTCTATGCCTCAATTACTTTTTCTTCGGGTTTACATTATGTAACGCGCTTATTTTGAATTTTATTTTGAAATATTTAACAGTATTTGCAGACCATCTGAGAACCTGTCTCTTTCTTTCAGCTCAAAAGAACAAAACACCAAAAGGAACACACAAAATCCCAAAATTTATCTTTTTATAAATGCTGAGGACAGAAAAAGGAAAATCATCTTTATTTTATGTTTTTTTCATTTATTTCGAAATGAAAACAGAAACAACTGAGGTAATTTCCTTTTTTGATTTTTAAGAAAAAATTGGATAGCCTGAACATAAACTGACCTTTATCCTGCTTATACCATGGTGATTTATGAAAGTAATAAATATTTCATCAATTAATATGTTAATGGACATTTTTTCCATAAAAACAGTACATTTTTTTTACAAGTAGCAGCTGAGGGGATCATTTAATATCTTTTGTTGGCTTTGACCATAGAACCTGCAGCTCAGCTAACCACATCTTATCTTAAATCACACAAGTTATAATTTCAGAAGGAACCATCAGGCTATTTGACCGAAACTAAATGAAAATATACAACAATTATTCCATTGAGCTAAAATTAGCCAGCTGCACTCATTTTCATTAGGAAATGGTCTTGAAAACAGCGTTTTTTTTAAAACATTTCCCTTCCTAATTGCAAATATACGAAAGAAAACTGTCTGTTGAAGGACCTTGAGTCAGCACTATGTGCATACACTCCCTCCAGCAGACAGAGTGCAACCTTTGAAGGTGAGGATGGAGTAGTTATAGAGAGGTTTGAAAGAATTCCCAAACAGCAGGAGTGTGAAGCCCAACAGGCCGGTGGGCAGAGTGTTTTCTACCCCATAAAATGCAGCATCACTGCTGCGCTGGTGCGTAGCTGCAGGTGGATCAGCAGAACATCAATCTGATATTTTGCATATTAAGGGGAGATATGAACAGACTCTCCTATTATGAAATAAAAGAAAAGTAATAGGAGTGGGATCAATTAGCAAAAAGCCTAAAGAGAAAGAAGAAAGAGGTGGGCATGACAGAGAAGAAGGTAAATAAACTCTTTGTTTCTCTAAAGTTTAAATTGGAAATGCTTAGTCACAATACTATCATTTTAACATTCAACAAATAGTAAAGAATAAATTTCTAAAATAAATTAAAAGGCAGCTTCACAAATTGATGTTTAATAGGAGCTGAAAAGAAATGTGCTCAACACTTTTCAGATTTTTAGGCTTAAAGATCATTTATAAAACACGTAACTGGGGGTGAAACAATTAATTGGATTAATCATGATTAATCAACTAATTTAGTAATCGATTAATTGTTACCTGGAGTATAGAGACTGTAAAACATAACTTTAGCTCACAGAGCGACCCACTTAGAGGTAGTCCAGTAAACTAGCCCCACCTGCCAGCGGCCAAAATCATTTTAGCCCGTGAGTGGTCTAGCCTCGATCAATGTCCCAGGCCCTAGAACTGGCTGGCCAATCACATCGCAGAGATGTGTTTTGGATTTCTGGATGCAAAGCGGGTGGGGTTTCTAGGGCATGACGATAAAGCTGTGTGACGCTGGAGAAAGCACAACAAGGAAGATAGCAACAACTATTGAAAAGTTCTGGTTTGACTCAGTTTTGGAATCAGTTTTGGAAGGATTAGAGTTGGTTTTTTTGTTGAAAAGTGAGCAGGAAGAGGCTCTACGCCATTCATTTTTAAGAAGGATGTATTCGCCGTTTTACCAACAGGCTGTTGTTTACACTCCTCCATCAGCTTTCTGTCACGTTTACTACGTCACAGTCAGTTGCGCTCATTGGTCAGACCGTTGGCCAATAGGCACAGACATGGTTTGAAAAACAACGGGTTGTTCTCATCAACAATCTTACAATGTCTCATTTATCAGGGCAAGACAAAATTACAGATTTATTCTCACATTTAGTCTGGTTTATCAGGCTAACTTAGAGGAGTAACTTACGGAAGAGGATTAGGGCCACTGAAAAATTTTTTTTTTTTTAAAGATTTTTACATTTTATTTCAGTTTAATATGGGACTAGCTCTCTTGTTTTAATGACCTTCTGCTCCTCCATTAATGAGGGGACCCCTCGGGCACGTAAAAAGTTGC